AATCAACATAATGAAATCATGAATGTGAAAAATGTGTTTGTCTTCAGGCATCCATATGTGCCCTGCAGTGGTCATACACAGGCCGACTTAACTTTGATCGAGGCTAGCTTGGATGTCAAAGGAAAGAACAGAGGAACAGGAAGGGCCTTCACTCCAAATCATCCAAGGCAGAGACAGATGAGGGGAGAGCAATGAACAAAGCTACAGACACTGGCAGGACATGAAAAACATGGAAGTGTTTGCAGCAGGTGAGTGTGTTGCTAGGACCGTGTGTGTGTATGGTTCTAGTTAGTATATCGTTATTATATCCAACTGAATGGTGGAGCATGGCCGAGAAACAAATGAAATTACCTGGGTTGGAAATGGTCTCTAGTACCAAAGTTCTCTACATAATGTGCTACTGAGGGATACTTATTGGGTTTGTCAGGATATACCTGGATCTATCTGACAACATAAAACCAGACTAAAATTGTTCATTTATATATATATATATATAAAAAATACAAATAATTACCTGCTCTCTTCATTAGATTTATATCACAGGTGTTATTAACAACAAGGTGAAACAATTTTTGAAAGATCCTGTTTTAAATATGCTAAATTAGTACAGGATTAACAAGTTACAAGTTACTTCTCTGTGTTGAATAAAGATGAACAATAAATGACAACTGGGTATTTTATTTTTAAGGTGAGAGTTCTCCAGTGCACTTGGGCAAAGCTTTTACTGAGCATGCCATCATGAGCAAAATCCGTTTAATCATCGACTCCTAATGTCAGTCAACAGGTACATTTATCAGTTAATTACCCAATTACACTGAAAGTAAGATTTATTTTCTGCATCATTAAACTCATATTCCTTGTATAATTTAATTGCAATACAAACATCTGTACTGTTGGATCTGATCTATATATACATCCGGCTTCTATTGCGTTGTATTTCATCTCTCGTTCTATGATTTCTATCTAGTGTCCCTAAAAATAAAGATGCATAGGTCTAATATTTGTTTGGCAGGTGAATGTGGCTGTCATGAACTTAACTGAGCACAATATCACTAACACACACCCACATTGACATCACCTCATTCGCAGCGACGGTACAATAGAGGGTATTAAGATGACATCACTGTATACAGAAGTCAGCGAGGTTCACTAAACTGAATGGTAAAAAAAGCAAACACTCAGCATCCGCCAGGTCCAGTCACACAGAAAAACAAACAAGGAAAACATGGCTAAAGTGGTACCGGACTGTTGTGCAATGACTGTGCAAACAGATCCAGAAAATAAATAAATAAAAAAAATCCAGAAATTTTTTCAGAAACATCCACAGAGGGCTGTACTGTATGAAGAGAGGCAACAATACACTCTGACTCCAGTTTAGTGAGGTAATTGGAATCCTGGTACTAAAACATTAACAAGTGGCTGCACATTATGCAAGTGAGAAATGGCATTCTCAGGTAAAATAATATCCCTCATTCTAAGTGGACTAGTCAGCGACTTTGTGCAGTTGGTGTTGGATTAGGTGCACACAAATAGACAGAATCGGTGTCATATCACAGGAAGGCTTTCAAAATTAGCTCCTTGCACCAATGTAGCACCCTTTATCTAGAGGCTAGAGTTTTGGCAGTGGATAAAAGGGACAAGGTGAATGCCTGTCCACACTTCTGTGTGTTTGCAGAATCAGAAAATTAAAGAGCCTGATCACAACCCTTGGGTCAAAGACCATCAAATGCATAAATTACATTATTTGTGAAGGATCTGATGAGGCCTACTGTATAAAACTGACCGAAGCCTGCTGAATCTTTTTCCTTAAACAAAAAACCACACACATTCATCACTACTGTTAGGATGGATTAATTAGTGTATTATAACTTCTATTTAGCTTAATGTGAATGTGTTCTTACCTGACCATCCTGCCCAACATGCACCTGGTGGATCTGGAGGTTTCCCTGAAATTGAGAAACGGGAAGTCACGGCATAATCTTGCCACCACACACAATGACTTAGAGGTTTGAACTAGTAAACATAAAGACACAAAAGATGCATCTCTCTGACTTCTCTGTGCTCCTATGCACCTTAACCTGCATGAACTACAGATCACTAAGACCTGCAATGTCACAAGGTGATTCCATTATTCCACCCCGAAATTTGGCGAAGGAGCATTTTTACATGCAAGTGGATGCAGTCTCCCTGTATTGTACATCAGCTATCAGTCATGCAGGCATGTGCCCATTGCAGTCTCATCAAGTAGCAAAGACCATCATACTGAAAAGTACTGAACATACACATTGAGAGCCACTGTACCAGAGTCAGATTCCTTGTGTGTCTAACACACCTGGCCAGTGAAGCTGATTCTGATATTTAGCCCATCTCAAGTCTCAGCTGTTTTCTCTTGTTAAATGCATTTCATGCATATATGCAGTGCCATCTGAGCTACCATATGGTCAGAGTGCAGAGTAATCTCTCAAACAGCTCATTTCCTTTTCGAGCACAGTGAAACCGATGTCTCTGATGAAAAGGGCCCATTCTTAATGAAAACATATTCTTTGAGTGGCAGTTGGGGGAAGTGGGATTTTGTTGCTAAGCTCCGAATTCCAAAAACACAAACAATATCACGGAAGAGGAAGGAGAAAGGAGAAAAAGTCTGGACTCAGCCACAAAGAGCAGGAAAAGCTTTAGAGCTTTTCTGCCTCCAATTCACTGTCTCTCTCACTCAATCGTGCATTTCTTCCTCCGAGTGTCCTTTAACCCAACTGAATAGGCAATGAGAAAAACAATTGGTCAAGGTGTCACCTGTTTTTCCACATAACATATAAACTACAGGATATGTGTGTGCACAGACTGGTGAAATGTCTCTTCAGCACTTGTTGTGGTTTGGCATTAGAGTCTGAGTTCAGCTGACAGGCCATCTCTGCATGATGTGTTTGGTGTGATACATGAGACATCCAGGCATTGTGTGGAAGTAGTGAAAAGTAAAAAAATAAAAAAATAAACCTATTGCATAAGGCCATACAAGCATTAAGGTGCATTCTGAAGAACATCTGCTTTTGCTAAAATCCACTAAAAGCTTACGTAAATGTTGTTGTCAGGTATTGCCCAAGTGCATTATGCTGCACTGGGATAGTTGGTCGACTGAGAAAACAGAAACATACAGGGTTCAAAAGGCACAAGGATGCTTAATGAATGCTGTATCTGACAGATGAAAAATAGCAGCTTGGCTGTTTGCTTTTCCATTTCTTTGCTTTAGAAGTAGACAGGTTTACAAACTACAATAAGAGTTGTGCAATCACAACTTTGGAAATCACTAGGAAATGTTTGTACCTAATAATCAGAATAATTCTCCTTCCAGCTGAAGGTGGTTAACCCTGATGTTCAGAAGAAATACTTGGCAAGCTTTCAACATTACACGGAGCCTCATCACAGGATAATTCTCACTGTATGCTGTCCGTCTATCGACACAACTGACACAATTGTTTTTAATAAATGGAAGATCCTGCTAACATTTATTTAAAAGCTTAAACTCCCCCATGTTCATAAATGTTGAATAATGATCAACAAAAAAAAAAAGATTAATGAAAAGACTTAATTCATTGCTATCACCATTAGGTTATAACCTTACACCATTCATTATCTAAATAAAAATAAATGTCTTTGTTTCAGAAAAGTGAACACATTAGAAATGGTCTTTTATCCAAGAGTGATCAAAGGTCAAATAATGAAATCTAGCCAGAAGTTGACCAAAGTACAAACCTGACTTCCAGCACAACATATGGACATTTTCAAACTAAAGTAAACATTTGCTTCTCAGCACATCACTTCTTCCTAGAGCACGGGTTCACGGTAACCATTTTTTCTGTTTGGAGACAAATCCTCCTGAGTGACTGAGAAACTTAATATACACCAGGAAGAATGACTCAAGAAAAGGAGTGGTTCGTTATGTCTCTTTTCTCATTCCCATTCCCACACAGCCACACACTTGCCTCACTGTCCTGTGTGATCTGCACCTCCTCTCCTTGTGGCACCTGGGCAATGTGCAACTGACCCTGTGGAATCTGAGAAACACAGATGAAGGGTGAGAGACAGCTAAAGCTAGAACAGTTACATGAATATGATCAATAAATCAAGAAACTGACAAATCATATTTTCCTTTAACCCAAGCACTATTTTCAACTACAGTTACATCGACAGATAACTGTCATACAACTACAAACTCTACTGTAGTTAGAACAGCCATCCTGCATAAAACTCCCTCCTTGTGTTTCTTCTCTGTTCAGGTGTGTAGAGAGATAGTAACAAGAAAAAGGAATTCTGTACAAAAAAGGCTGTAACTTTGGAGCCACCCACTTGATTTGTCCAGCTCTGACTGATGAAAGCTCTATTGGCCCCATATTGAATGAGGACTGTGGATTTTGTCCCTCATCACTTATGTTGAAATTACATTAGGAAAGGATTTCTGAACAGCCAGAATAAACAGGAGAAATGAGTCCAGCAAATAAAACCTGTTTCAGTGATTACATGGCAAGGCAAGTTTATTTATATAGCACATTTTCATATGCAATGGCAATTCAATGTGCTTAACGCAATGCATACAGATGGGTAAAACATTAAAATCCATAAGGTAGATAGAAAAAACATTAGAATGCAGACTGTGGATTGCCACTGTTCTCATTATATTTTGTACCCCTTTATTTCAGCCTTCCCAAGACAAACCTCAGAGTACTTCAACATCAGTATGGGTATGTAAGTATTCTTTCAAGACAAAAGACTCAAAAATTGCACAAACTGCACGCTGAGCTCTTGACAGTCCTTCTCTCCCACTTTCTATATGTCTACTTTCTCTAATTAATGCCTGTTCTTTGCTTTCTCAGACAAGCCATCTATTACCAGTATCTCCAAACCTATGGATCATGTAGCAGCCCACTAACAACAGAAATACTCAGTGCTCTAAATTATGAGGTGGCTGTGAAGCATTGTCACTAGTCTACATGGAGGGAGTGCACCAATGAGAGGAAGTGGAGCCTCACAGCAGAATGGAAATGACTTCTCCATTGTTCACACAGTATAATCAGACTGTGTTACAAGCACAAAAGTATTTTTTTGTTGGTTAACAGTGACTTTGCAACTCAGACACATGCACTTGTAGCACTGGGACAAGACAATCTTATTTAATTAAGCTTGGGAGCATCTGTCATTGGCTATCTGAATATATGAGTAAGCAAGATTGAACTAAGCTGCTTTCACGCAAATAATGACTGTGACTTCAATGGCAAACCCTGAACTAAGAACCAAGCACTTTAAATATTGATTTGATCAATTGTACACATACAATGTAACATCAAAGTCCTGCGATGTATAGGACCTTAAAAAAGTCATAATCTAATCAAATGACCAATCCCCGTCTTGTCCCATACTGTCAGGCACTTTAGGATGATTTTACAGCACAAGAAAGATGAGACATGAGTCATGTCCTCTTTGTCAGCCCACCCATAATGCTGTATGACATTTGTGCAGAATGCTGTATACATCACTGTGGTGGTTGGTGATCGGTCAACACCCACAAAAGAAAATTGTAAAATCAAATTATGAGAAAAAAGGAACTAACTGTAAGACACGCCTGATAAAAAAAGAGAGGACTCTCATACTTGGGTTGGATTGCTGCATATGGATCCAGAGGAAGACTGAGGTATGAAATGGCTGATACTAACCACCTGAACTTGTCCATCCTCGCCAATACGGTGGATCTGGACTTGCTGATTTGCCAGGGTGTAGTGCAAAGTCTGCGGGGTGGCAGTCTCAATGTGGGCTGTTTCTTCTCCAATGCCTCCCTCTGGATAGGAGAACAAGCGGTATGGTCATTGATGTATTCATGTTCATACTGCAAGCAGGTCATGAGTACAGTGCTACTAATACCAGCACCATTACATCAGAAACAAGGAAGAGGTCTCTACACAGACAGACACACACACACACACACATCCAGACATGATCATTCTCCAGCCAGCCAGGCAAACACACTCATTGTCTAGCAGCCAAACACAAACTCCAGGACTCAGTCTAAACACCCACTATCACAACAGCAGTCTGAAACCCCTGCATGGCTGTGTCACATCACCAGCCGCAGTGCCACACCAACCCGAGACACTGTGTCAGCTGTCAAAGGCAGCACAGTGCTCAGTGACAGTGGAGGCTACGCCCCAGGCTACAAAGTGTGTGGAAAAAAATAAAATGAATAAAGCTTTAAATGTCATGAAACACACAGCAAAGGTCACATACTCCTCAAAGGTTCTGTTTTGTGTTATGCTGCTCTGAACAGTAAGGCTGTCTCCCATCTCCTCTTAATACAACTATGTACTGTATTATGTAAATAACCCTCAGTCCTTTCATTTGTCAGTCGGGGAACCAAGAGCCAGGTGGTTTGTGGAAACTATAGTTTTGGTCTGAGCTCTACTTGCTTCTTCCCTGGCAAATAATGGTTTTAAACACAGAAGAATTGCCTCCTTTGGGTCCATTAACATGTAATATGATTAAGGACAGAATGATTGTTTGGTGTGTGTCTTTGCATGTTTGTGCACGCGCCATCTGAACTAGTATTTTGGTTGTACACCCTGGGGTGTGTGTTGCCTGAAAAGGCAAGGATTGTCAATCCACCCCTAGTGTGTGCTCAGAGGATATTTGAATTTCCCCTGCAGCCTTACTTTCCCCTGGTCAGAGGTGAGAGGTGACGGCTCACAGGGAGGGAAGGACAGCAGGCATTGTGTGCAGATTACAACCATCTGCAGCAATGCACACTACATCTGCAGCTAAGTTAAGGTCTAAAAATAGCCATTTAATAACTGATGAAATAAGACCTGTCTGACGAATATTTGTATACAGTCATTTTCCTGCATGAGAAACAGAATAATGAAGACAGAACTGAAGGAGAAAAGGCCATTTTAAATCATCTGCCTTTTGGCACAAGGCAGCCAATCATGAGGTAAAGATGCAACTTATGTCATTTGCTAGTTAAGTGGTTATTCCAAAATTGACCAAGCACTAACAGTGTAATACTAAAGAAAAGCCTCTAGGTGAGCTAACCAGTAGCAGTTTATAGACATGATGACATTGATTCATAGGCAGCTATGACTGACAGAACTTAACTGAGAACTTGTATGCAGGAAGTAAACACTTCCACCCATTCCTTTCAAATTGGATGGGCACCAGTTCAAATTCACACCTGAAAATTCAGAGTTGAAAAAAAAAAATCTGAAATTCTTTTGCTGACAGCACAAAGGTAGTTTTGTAACTTGGAACAAACTGATGTCATGCTGCTTCACTGAAGCCAGCCAGCAGCAGATATCTCCTTTTTGAGTCTGAAGCATTCACTGTGCATCTTGTTTGACTGGAAAACAGCCACAGAAACTTTGCAATGTAATCAGCTGATAAAGAGAGTGGAGCCAGGTGGGTATATGTTTTCTCAGACAGCAGAGATAAATGTTAATACGCTCATTGCCTAAGCCTTTCATAAGAAAGTTGTCAGAAATCTCCAAAGTACTTTGATTTCTTAAATACAAAGAATTACAAGCATGAAAGACTGACTGTAATACGACTTCAACAAGCTGGAGTTGACCTCCGTCATATACTCTGAACAACCCCATTTCCAATAAAGTTGGGGTGCTGTTTAAAATGTAAATAAAACTTGAATGAAATGTTTTGAAATCCCCTTTTACCCCCAAACTCATTTGGTAAAAGCACAAAGATAAAATATTTAATGTTCAAGTTAATACACATATTTTGTTTTACATTCTGAATTTGAGGCCAGCAACGCAGTCCAAACAAGTTGGGATAATAGCACCAAAAGACTGGAAAAGTTGTGTAATGCTAAATCAATCCATCTCACAACTGCTTTGGTTAATTGGCAACAGGTCAGCATCATGACTGGGTATAAAAAGAGCATCGCAGAGGGGCGCCATCTTTCAGAAGTAAGGATGGGGTGAGGTTCCCCTCTCTGTGTAGCAAATACAATGTAAGAATAGTGTTTCTCAATGTAAAGTTGCAGAGCATCCACTAATTGAAGTTACACAGCAAAGGAAAAAAAAATCCAAAATAAACAAGATTTTTTGAATGCCACCACTGCCTTTTGAGATTTTCTTGGAAATCATGGACACCGCGTCCTCTGAGCCAAAGAGAAGAGGGACCACCCCGCTTGTTATCAGTGCACAGTTCAAAAGCCAGTCATCTGAGAACATCACTGCACACGGCGTAGGGAATTTGCACATCTGTGATGCCACCATTAAATGCTGAACAATAATATACTGTATACGTGTTCTGGAGCAACATATGTTTTCCAAAGTAAAGCAACTGGTCTGTGTTGTTAAAAGAAGAGGTGATGCAACACAGGGCTAAATGTGCCCCTGTCCCTGTTGTTTTGAAACATGTTACGGGCATCAAATTAAAAATGAGAATGTTTTTTTCCATAAAGAAAATTTCTCAGTTTCTACGTTTCATATGTTGTCTTTGTGCTATTTTCTATTTGATTTCGATTTTATCCTAAATAATTTGCAATTCATTGCACTTTGCTTTCATTTTCATTATACACACAGTATCCCAACTTTATTGGAAATGGGGTCATAGATTTACTAACTATATATTATTTCTAGGGGTGCACCGAACTTTCGGCCACCGAAAATTTTCAGCCGAAAAGGCCATTTTTATTTCGGGCCGGAATAAAAAAAACACGCCGAAAATGCCCCGCCCCGCCCATCCTCGCGCAGCACAGGTTAGGTTTCACTCACGCTGGAGCTGTTATATCACGCGTCTCCCCATCAACAACAAAGCATGTCAGCGGTATGGAAGCATTTTGAAGTTTCAGGTGAGGACACCAAAGTTTCAATATGAAACATTTGTTCTGGGACCATAGGTGAGAGTCAGAACGTGGGTTGATTCTGATTTTAAACTGCAAAATGTTTTGCTTCACGCACAGGAGTTTGCTGGGTCACACACTGCAGCAGTGATATCTGATGCTTTGTCTACAATGCTTGACACTTGGCACATTGAGAAGTCTAATTGTTTATTGTTAAAAATATTTTAAATTTTAGTTTTTCATTTCAGATTCATAAAATTCAAGTAATTTATATATATATATATACACACACACACACACACATACATACACAATTATAAAGTAAGCGTGTTTTAAAAGTTTGAAGATTTTAAAAGAAGCCATTTTCGGTTTCGTTTCGGTTTTCGGCCAAGTGCATCCTAAATTTTCGGTTTCGGCCCAGAATTTTCATTTCGGTGCATCACTAATTATTTCTTTATAGATTCACCACATCTTTTCTTTCTGACACAATTCCTTAGAATACAAACTGCTCAGTACACCAGTAAAATACAGAACAGGCAGCTTTCTCGATTTGAAAACAGTGTTTTGTTAAATCATGATTTTGATTTGAAAGCAATTAATCATTCAGCCCTGTGTTGCTATTATATTTTTTCTTGACTTATTTGTTCACAGCACTGTATCTACACTTCTGCACAAACAGGATCACATCCAAGACAGCACGTGCCATGGTTGCAACACAACAGCAGCACAAACAGATATGTTTTCCAGCCCCCTGTGTTTTACCTGTGGCTGAATTGCGAGGTGTGCGTTTGGAGAAGCTCTTGACAGCCAGACTCTGGCCACGCTGTTTGCGTCTCCAGGCGGTGCGACACTTCGAGTCAATGCTTTGCTTGATGCGATACCAATCTGACTCAGAGATGCCAAATTTGTGGAACAAATGACCTGTGGAAATATAGAGAAGTGACATCATCACAAACTATATGTGTAAGTAATCAAATACTTTGTTTGCTCATGAATGACTGATCACATCTCAAGTTGACCTGTCCCTAGACAATCTTCTTTTTAGTGTTTCAGTGTCCTTTTGGTTTAAAAATGCCTCTTCCTCTCTGTCAGTCAACTTTAAGCACTGTGCTCACCTCAACTTGACAGTAACATTAACAGAAACATAAGACACAGCACCCAGGATAATTCACAAGCAAGAATATCACAGACTGGCAAAGGCATATAAAAACTGCTTTTCTATGAATAATATATAATCTCAAGTTCTTCCACAAAAAAAGTTGAATAAACCTCTATAAAGGGCCTGAAAACCTGTCTTGGGAATTCCAAGATTCATGAATATTCATATATATATGCAAATGACCCAAGGCATTGCCACAGCCACTGCTTCCCCCCAGGTAGACCAGTGAAATCACTATGTATCATAGCGGGAGGGAATAATGGAGAAATTCAGCCTCATTCAGACCCACATCTCTCAGAATGTTAAGTATGGTTATATTACATATATTCTAATATATAAACAAATATTCTGTTTTGTTTATTTACCTGTAGCTCTCTACTGGCATTCAGAGTGGACAGCAAACGAAACATTGTGTTTCCACACTGTCACATTGTTATTGACCAAAATATGCAAAAGTATTTACAGTCTAGCTGTGAGTTTGATAGTATGTCAGTATCTCTTAATTTTCTCAGTTGATCCAAATCTAATAACAGAGATTGTGTTATTAGCACAAAGCTAACTATTAGCACTTAGGGAGCCAATCCTGATTCTCCAACAATGACACACATCTCATTTAATCTACCATTAAATAGAAAATAAATAAATGAAGGAAAGAAGCTCCAGGGTCTGGTTTATATCCAAAAACTGCACTCCAGCATATTTGATGTCACCAGTTAAGACTTTCACTCCCACTCCTGATCACTGAAAAGTTAGTTCTGGTTGTTTTGAGACCAGAGGATTCCAGTTTCTCACCACACTCCTGAAATCTGTAGATATTTGCATAGTGAACCATGACTGGCTTTCAGGCTTGCGGTATCACAGATTTTGTTTGCCTGTCCATGTTTGAAACTCGGATTTCAGGGAAGTAAACAGACATCCACCCCTTTAGCAGAGGAATGTAAAAACACCATGTAAGTGACAAACCCGCACAAGCACCAGTCAGTATACTGGACAGCAGATATTTATGGGAGATAAAAATAAATAAAAACACATTTTTGGATGGAGGAATCTTTGATGCCAACTTTATCACCCAGTAAAAAAGCAAAAGGCTACTGCTGCAAAATACATATAGACTAGACATAAATAAGCTGTCTGATTTGTCATCTGAAAAGGTGTTTTCAATAGGGGTATTTCATCTGTAACTGACATACACTTTTATGAAAAGTGAAAAAACCGCTGTCCTGACTGTTTAATTCTCATCCATACCCTTTGACAAGGAGTGTTGACACACGACAGTGAGTGTCCTTAATCCCTACCTCGGTCGGGATATATGCAGGTGAGCCTGGATGCATCATGCAGCTGAATTTTATGCCTGTCACCCTCTGTTTTATGTACTGTTTAAAGGGGGTGAGCTGCATGACAGCTCATTTCTACATAATTTTGCATTGCAGCAATGGCCTGAGGGTAGAGGGCACCTGATGGGTCCTGTACAGGCAAGCAGGGCAGGTTCTCCTTCATACTTTTTCCCATTTTAGACAGACATCACGAGTCTCCCAAAAAAACCCGGGCACTGCTGCCACTCTCTGAATACCTTTATGTCAGGCCAGAACTGCTTGTAACTATGCACAGCCTCACTGCTGAGAAGAAATACAAGCAACTAAGTATAAGAAAAACTTATGTCCATAGAGGATATTTACTAAAACTACTTGCAGGTTGCACAAGCTTAACTCTGCAAGAAGGCTACAGCTAGCACAGCAAAATATATAAACATATTATATAGCCATAAGACTTAATAAATATCCATCTGTCTAGCATCATAACCATGACTATGCTTAATCAGGAATCAAAGCGTTCACTGAAGTGATGGTGACTCCATTAGGATCTTTTTACCAGACATGTGCCTTTCATTTAGAGTTGGGTATGTTATAAAACATGTTGTGCATTAATGTGTGGGTGCAACAATGAATGCATGCTGTTGTAACTTGCCTTGGGTCTTGCAGTCTATTTCTGTATTTAGCTCAATGCCGCTTTGTAGGAGAACAGGGATGAATCATGGGAAGGTCTCAGAGAGTTCATTTATTGCAGTAATAGGGATTGAAATCCCCAGCTGAGTGAAATGTATTAGTGTAATTTAAACTGTGCAAAAATCATGTAACAATCATGACAGGAACACTAGCTACTAGAAACTGCCTTGGCAGTTACTATACTAGGGGGTCATTTTGCCAATTAAGTCACAAAAAGGCAAGCTTAAACAGCTCAGAAACACTTGACCAGGAGTTGAGGGGTAAAACAACAAAATGTCCACTTCTTACTTTTATTTCGAAAGATATTTGTTTGGAAGCATCTTTTGTCTGTCAGGGCTGGCAGCTGGCATGTGTTTTTTTTTTTTTGTAAGATGGCTTATCATGGAAAACCACCAGGTCTTCCTTCACTTTGTCACAAACCTATCATAAAATGAAGCAGAGAATTCATACACTTGTCAAAACAGGCAGTTATGATGTCAGGACTCACAGCGGATGCCATAGATCATGAGCGGGTCCAGCTGCTTCTTGCCATGTTTGCCCTGCCCAGAGAGGTTTGACATAGCCTGGACCTCCCTATGGAACAGGTAGTCCAGTAGTGTCAGCGCCATTTTCTCTGCTGTGCGGCAGTTTGTACTGATATGAAGCATATCTGCTGGAGAGACTGGGCAACGCACTCGCATCTCTGGGTTGTTATCATCTCCCAACCAGGTGCCCTCTGGGTAATCATCTGGGGAACAAAGGAGGAAGAAACAGGTCTTTGAACACAAATAAACAGCAAATGTGTAGTCTGTTAATAACACTGAGATCTACCACGCCTTCCTTCACTGAAGGAAAGCAAAATATATCCACTCTAGAAAAATACTGAATCACAGATTGACAAATACTACACAGGTACTGTACACTCACTGAGGCCCGTCATGTAATACAATAGCACACCCATGTGGCAGTAAAGAAGAATTAGGTGAATAGTGAATATTAAATTATTTTTAAAGACATTAAAACATAAAATATGTGGTCTGGCAGTTGACTCACAGCGTATGTTAGCTGTTACGCCCACCACACAAACAAAGCATGAGCACACTGCTCTGGTCACCACATGGTACCGCCCTAGCTAATGCTGAAAAACAGATTTTTCATAGTAAGCCACAGCTAAAAATAAACAAATGATAATTTGCATTTGAAGATAACCAAGAGCTTCCCACATCCACTGAAAATAACCCAACTAACAACCACAGCAAATACAACAACTTCATTTAGGTTTAAACAATTAGAATTTAACTTGTCTTTCTCAGGCTTAGCTAGAACCATGAACGGTCATTTGGAGCATTTCTCAGCAGTCTGAGGCAGAACCACAGGACAAAGGGAAGCATCTTATTGTTGAAGTAACAGAATTGTTTCTTTTTACTCCCTGGAGAGATTTGGCCCAAAGGTCAGTAATCATTCACTCTCGTATACACAGGTTTAAAATCAGTGAGGTGGTCCTTGATTCAAGCTTGACTTCAGCATAGCCAATATGTTCATTTCTATACACTAACAACTAAAAGGAAACATGAGAAATAACACACAGATACTGTATGTACTGTATGTGTGTTTGGGTTTCTATAACAATAGCATTGAGCCATACCTTCTGAATTCAGTGTGATGAGCGTGATGTTTTGGCCATTTTGTGCATTGCTGGACTGGCCACCATTGGAAACAGAATCACTAGCCTCTGAGCCACTTTCCTGTTCTTCTTGACTCTCCTCAGGGCCAGGCACCTTTACCAGAATTGTGTTCTGTCGCCTCCTGGTCACTGTGCTGAAAAGCCACCCAGATATACTGTTTATACAGAATCACTAAGTCAAACATACATAAAAATCACAGCAGTGACCACCTAACAGTATTTCTGACTAGACTAGGCATACAGTGTCAATGTGAGTGACTCACTTGCTGAGTAGGTTCTCCAAGGGGGTGTCTTCTTGGGTAGTCCCCTTCGGGTGTTCCCTGCTCACTATCACATTTGTTTGTGGAACAACACTGAAGAAGAAGTTGAAAAGACACTGAGGTATGCATGCTTTATACAGTCTAAACTAAGTTTAAGTATCGTAGTTCTGGCACCAGTAAACACAATACAGCATTGAAAAATAATGGAAAGGACAGTTCCTCAGCATTATAAAATACTAAACCTACTTTGGTCTGACTGTTTTCATTAATCTCCACTCATGGACAGAATGTCTAATTAGTGTGCAAAATGTGTGGCAAGCAGCTGTAGCTTACCATCGCACTTTGTTCCAGGTTTGAGTGGCCCCCTGAGGCGAACCTGCAACCATGGGAACTTGGATGGGACTCTTGGCACAGGGCACCATGTTGTCAAGTTTGCGCCCAAGGGCTTTGCATGTCGCATCCAAAGCCTGTAACTTGGACTCAATGCCCTCCAGTCGATGTGTGATTGATGCAGTGAATGAAACCAGCAGGTTCTGGGAAGACAGAAAATAAGATCTTGTATGTGTAATGTATGTCCAAAATCCCCCATTTTTATTTTTATTCAGTAATTGAGCCCATTGTACAGAGCTTGTACCTTAATAAAAGATATGTCTTGGTTGCTGTTGTTCTCTTGACTGTTGCTTAATTTCCTCTTCTTCTTGTGAGGCCTTTCTTCATCGTCAGCATTGTCCAGCATGTCTGGCATAAATCAAATGCAGAGACTTGCTCAAAACAACACACTACAGTCTTCTTGGTAGATTTCACTAAGTTCATACTGAAGTTATGTCAAAGTAACCACTTAAAGTAAGTGAAAATTAAATCATCTATTACATTAAATTTGTAAAAATGTCAGAAATAATACCTGTACGGTCATCCTGGTTAAAATCCTCCACTGTTATTTGCACAATTTCATCCAACTCTTCAGACATTGCTTGCAACTGAAATAATATAAAACTGGTTAACTAAACAAGACAGCAAAATACTTTACCGACACTTGATATCTTCTAGTTGCATTACTGGAATTAACTGACTTCTTTTACAAATAAATGATCTCAAACTTCAAATACCACATATCAAGTTTTTCATTCAGAAATAAGTTACTTCTGACCTAGAAACCACCTGATCAAGAAAAAATAAGATCTATCAAACTCATAAGCATCACATTCATGTAAAAATGACCAATTTACCAAATTCACTAATACATCGCAAGGTGGTACAACTTCCTATAAAAAAAGTAACAGTCAAAGCCATGTATGAGTGGGTGCACAACAAATGATTAGCTAAAGATTTTTGAGGCCGATACTGAGTGTTATTTGAGAGTTTAAAAATGGTATATCAGCTTTTTTCCTACATAAACACCCAATGGAACAACTCACCATAAACAATATTGATTTAGTTGACTCCAATTTTTTTATTAATTTTTCAAGATACATATTAATCCAGACATTTTACTGTTTATAAATCAACTTGCAACCTCTAGTGGACAGGCTCTGTAATGGTGACACCGTTTCTAAATGTCTTTACAACTACTTTGTAATCCCTGTACTGCAATTACAGTTACTTGTCTAGCTGTAGTTTCAATGTGATTATCAGTGTCGGACTATTAGATACACTTGTCTTTTGATCAGTATAGCCCTCAGAGGCTGTGTAACAGCTCATAATTTATTCACATTAGGCACTTTTTACGCTTCAAGTCACTTTCCTTTATTTTACTCATATATACTGTATAGTGATTGTGTACTGAAAGCTGAGAGCAGCCTAAATATTGAAAACCACACAGCAGTGTGTTGTGTAGACCATGATGGAGGAGGATTTTGTTACACAGCTTGCATAAGGGTGTGAGAAACAGTTTAACTACAAATTATTTTTGGTATTGGTTATATTTGATGATCAGTTTCTTGGTGATAAGAAAGCCTTCCCAGTCATCCTTCTGAACCTGCATTCCACTTCAGAATCACCATAGACCTAAGAAGGCACCTTCTGAACTAAATATTATTACATAAACCATTGTGTGAACATACATAAATATTTTTTTGTCTTTCTGACTTATTACATAAACCATTGTGTGAACATATATAAATATTTTTTGTCTTTCTGACATGTATGTGTGTATGTTTAATACCATATATTAAACCTCAATGCAGTGTGTGATATTTCATTGGGCTGCTTTTTATTAGTAGCTTTGTTCATTTCACTTGCCTGAAAAACTGCATTTTGCAGTATTTTAGTCTTATCTGTTATTATAAAGGTATGACTGCCAAATGAATTGCATCTTTTTTGACATAACACTGCTGTTTTACTTTTCTCCATACAGTTTGTATCTATGCTATTCGGGAACTGCATGCAGCACTAATGCAGCAGTAAAACTGCTTTTCTGTCCCTTGCTGGTATTCCATTTGTCTGCACTTTGGATGATGTTACTATTTGTAAGATTGTAACATTTGGTTACAATCATGTATTCTTCATTACTGTGTGCTAATTGTACTGACATCTACAAATAAAGTGGAACATAAGCCGGAGCAGATATTTTCTGCGTAGAAAGTGTATGCTAATTTATTTTCTAATTGCTATGCATTTGAATCTATGAACGAGCTTTCCTCTGAATTAATTTACCTCTTTAGGCATGTAACACTGATATAAAAGAAGAGTGTACATTATAGCTTATAAATAAAAACAGAGGAGGTAGCATTCAAAGGACAGTGTAAAAATATCCACCCATGACTGAATTTTCATTAAGATTTCATTATGATAGATGCAAAGACAATCATCTAATGTACTCACCCTGACAAATGATTCATTTACATGTAAACAAGGAATGCACTGTAATCATTTATTGTCATGACCTGTTACAGTGGCCACAGAACTAAGATCAGGCACAAGAAGTGACAGTGAGGTGCGTTTGGACAGAAACGTATCCAGAGAAATATGCCAGCCATCTCTGGGATCACTTTATTTTGTTTTTCATAAATGGGCAAATTTCAATCCCATATAAATAAAAACGGATAATTTACTGATCAAAATAAAAAGCGTTAAAGAACAGCAGCGCTGAGAAATTAACTGCCTTGAACCTGCAAAAAAAGCATTAATATTGTATTTACAAAGTTAGATGAGAACTATTAGGTGGTGCTAGCACTGGCAGTAAGGAGAAAATGGGCAAAATGCAGCTTTTGTTTTGGCAAACCCCGCTTCTCTAGATTGCTACCCCCTAGGTTTCTACAACCTGAAAACATCACAGAACGCTGGTCAAGCCGCGCTATCCTAAAATTGTATTGGTATTCCATAGCTAACTAGCGTAAAAGCTAGCTAAGCAGCTAACGTTAAATGGGCGGAGGTCTCTTGGTGTGCTGTTAAAAGCAAAAGAAAAAAAAAAGAAAGAAACCTGTAAAAGTTGATGTTTTGCCTGATTAACCGCGCACTTGTGTAATTTCTATTCCTACTTACCATTATTTCTCACTGGCATGAGCTTACTAACCTGAGCAAAATAATTCATAGCAACTAGTTAGCTAGTGTTAGCTGACGCTACAAGACCAGATTCGCAAGCCTGCGTACTAAAGCTGAAGCAACGTAAAGCAGTCCCTAGCGTGGTGGTTAGCATGCTAGTTGGGCCTAAAGGCCGCCGAATTGTCATGAAAGAATCGTAAACTGCTGAAAGAAATAACTATTAAATATCACTTTTGATTAAACGTTTTTGTCCCGAATGCTGGCACACAGCACACTCACACACGAAGAAAGGGTTATATTACCGTGTGAACGATGAATTCTCGTGTTGTTTGTAGGGATTTCGATAACGGCGTCGTTCCTCGCGAGAGATGAACCCTTTCCTTCCTGTGTTTTTCTCATAGAGGGTTGTTCACTCACTACGGAGAGCTCAGTCACAGTTGAATGCAGTCAGCTAACGACCGTACTAAATTAGAAACGACACGCTAACACAAACAGCAGCGAGTTTAACATCAGCTACTGTAACGTTATTCTACATCTCAGTCCATTTTAACAGGAGGGGACTGTAATACTAAGATGGCTTTCGATATTTAGCTAATTGTTTCATATTAATCATGTAAATTGGCTTTGACGAAAATATCGTGCTGATTTGATTATCCGGACAGGATCGCTAAAAATGTTATATCAGTAAAAGAACAAATGTGTACTCTCCCTAAGTGGTTATTTTAATATACGTATTAAGATAGCCGTTAATTCTGAATGTGCCTTAGAAGACATCAATTTGTTACTGCCACTGCCCCAAATATTACTTTAATCCATAGGCTGTATATACATTACACACCCTATCATTACATGTTAGCAGATATAGTTGGCTAGCTGTTATCAGCTGTGACGAGTTTACGCAGCACTGTATATTGTAGAGGACAAATTTTTATGTTTGTCTGTCCAGTAGTTGGGTCACAAGAAAGATCACAAGTATTTGATAAAATATGTAGAGAAAAGTAACGAGCCAGCCAGGAGTCGAACCTAGAATCTTCTGATCCGTAGTCAGACGCGTTATCCATTGCGCCACTGGCCCATCACGCTATTGTTATATCCGTTACTCTATTAAAATATTTGTAAGGATATTGTAGGGATACGGGTGTAGGTGAGTTTACAGGAATAATCTTTCATTGTGGCTGTTAATGTTATAAACTATAGTAAATATAAATTCAGTATTAATTTAAAAGTCAAATCAATCAAATTATCCCGATCTGTGCTTTGGGAGATGTATAATATTAGCTGCAAAAAATGTAGGCTACCTTTAATTTGGTTAAAATGACAATAGGCTACAATAATCCATCCATTTTCCAAACGGGGTCACGGTGCTACAATAATCAGTAATATAATTCATCGTAGAAGCGCTTTGAATGTGCATCAGTGTAAGCGCTGTATAAGACCATTTTCACTTGGTTAAGAAGACAATAGCCTACTGGAGCCTAATTGTGCAAATCAGTAATATCATTCGTCGTAGAATATGGACAAACTAGTCCTATTTCACATTTTCAGGATTACTGAAACCCTTTAAAGGTAAATGACCTTGTAGCCAGTAGAACAGGTAAAACCGAGGGGGCGGGGCGCTGTCACATCATATCTTGCAGGTGGGCTAATATAGTCAGACGCGCTACGTCTAAGTTATAAAGGGAAAGCTTCAGAGGAGGCGAAATATTGGCTTTGAACAACCCGGAGTGTCGCCAAACAACATGAAGTTCTGTGCAAAGCCAGCCTTATTCCCGCAGCTGGCGTCTGTTTTATTTCTCTGTGTAGCTGCAGACCTACATGGTAAGCAGAGGAAAGCTCATTTCTTTTCACAATACGTCGAATGTACCTCTGAATCCGTTGTTTACTCCGTCTTAATCGAAGTTGCTTCGTTCCTTTACTGACGATCCATTGTGTGCAAAGGTCACAGTTACATTAGGTTATATCCAAAATCAGACTCAGAGTTTTGGTTGAGGAAATACCTTCTTCCGTGTGTTATACAGTTATCAGAACGGAGCGTTGCTTCGTTCTCTTAAAGTACTAACATTAGATGTTAAAACACAGCTTTGCGGTAGAGTCACTGGGGCAAGCAGTTTATTTCAGATACCCAGTGCCATTTTAGTCGGAAATAGTTTTAATAGACTCACAATATATTACAGACATTGTTTGCATTGCACAACTGCCCTGAGTGGAACAAAGTTGAATCGGGCTGTGGTTGTGCAATAGGATCAGCAAAGCCAGTTTGAATAGGTAAATGAGTGTTTAAATTGATCCACCAAAAGGGCACACACACGGGCCAGGCTACATGTAGTGCTGCTGTGGGTCGGGCGGTACCATGGTTCATTTCCTGTGTGACAGGTTGGCTGTTCTCTATCTATCTAATCTATCTATCTATCTAATCTATCTATCTATCATGGGTTGATGCATAAACATTTGATTGATAATCAATGTTTAATCAGGTGTTAAAGTAATTTTGTATTCAAAATATAGTGATCTATGTTTAAACTTCAATGCACAGACAGTTTTTGTGTAACAGTATGCAATTCTGATGGATTAGTTGGATGCGATGATGGGGTTCTTTGTATTTTGATCAGATGTGAGATTCTTGTATTTTTATTAGCCATTAGAATTATTTATTCTTGAGAAAAGAGAAGTTGATAATGTTGAATCACAGTGGGGTGGACGCCACGCCCAGTGTACTGAGCTTTGATGGTAAAAGATATGTAATAGCTATTGCAATGTGTGTGTTTCAAGTACATTTGATTATTCATTAAGTTTATAAAACTCTGCTCACAAATAGTGAAGGTTTTAATATGTTCTGATCCTAATTATTTTGTAGTAACATAACCAGATGCTGCATATTTGGAGGAATCACATATTTTGTATTTTATACTTAGATGCTTAGCTATACACATTAGTTTTCCCTGGGAACGTGAATGCATGACTTGGGAACTTAAATCGTGATTCTATGTTCTCATGTCTTGACAGCAACTGAAGTCCACACAAAGCTTGGCAGTCTGAGAGGGACGTATGTGAGTGTAAAGGGGAAGGAGGCTGGGGTCCATGCCTACCTGGGTGTCCCATTTGCCAAGCCTCCTGTAGGGCCTGCTCTGAGATTTGCTGCACCTCAACCTGTAGAGGGATGGGAAGGAGTGAAAGACGCCACTCAGCAGCCACCCATGTAAGACATCCTTGGGCTCCAGTTGTTACGCACCTTACCACATTAAAGGAATCATGTCCAGTACTTGTTAATAATATGTTCTCGTTTTCAGGTGCGTGCAAGATAGAGAGCAATTTTTGGATCTGATTGATACCCTCGGTATGACGTTGGCACATATTCCAGACATTTCAGAAGACTGTCTTTATCTCAACATTTACACTCCTACAAGCAGAGCTCATGATGCCAAGCTCCCAGTAAGACCCCTTTGCTGCAGGTTTGAGGTGATGCTGCTCAGTTACTAAGGTTCAGCACAGGAAAGGCTTGGACTTTGTTCCTGGACAAGATGGTTTGATTGCTTTTAAAGAATCTATAATGGAAATATAAAAGATGTTTATTTATTCAGAAATACCCAGTTCAGTTTCAGGATTTAGTCAGGTTAAAGTAGTGAGGTGAGCTCAGTTATACTAAAGTAAAAATGTCCTTTATGCTTTGTGGAAAATTGGTCTGTCTTGACCTTACCAGGTCATGGTGTGGATCCACGGTGGAGGGTTTACTATGGGATCAGCTTCAATGTATGATGGCTCCGCCCTGGCTGCTTACCAGGAGGTGGTTGTTGTTTTAATACAGTACCGGCTGGGGCTGCTGGGCTTTCTCAGGTAAAATGACTTGCTAAACACAGTTTGAATGACTATACTATGACCATGTTCTACTTTAAATCTTTCTGATCAGTACATGTGAAAAACTCAGTTGGGTCACCTTTACCAGCTGGTGTAAATGGAGCCTGGTAGAATATGACTGTATGTTCTATCCAGTACTGGAGATGAGCACATGTCAGGCAACTTTGGAATGCTGGACCAGGTAGAAGCTCTGAGGTGGATCCAGCAGCACATTCATAACTTTGGGGGAGACCCAGATTTAGTTACCATATTTGGGGAGTCTGCTGGTGGAGTGAGTGTGTCTCTCCTGGTAAGGATCAGCAACTATTACATTGTTATATCACTGCAAAGTCACTACTGTCCACAGAACCTTGACTATTTTCTGTTGCTTGAATCAACAGCTTCTGTCACCGTTGTCTGATGGACTCTTTCATCATGCCATTGCTGAGAGTGGCACTGCTGCAATGGATATACTATTTTCAAAGGAGCTTCTACCACTGATGCAGGTTAATTATTATTGTACTTATTTTGTGTTTAAATGTTTTTCAGTTCACAGTGCTGAGAATATCACAACACAAAATCTTTATTTTTCTAAATTGTTGACATGGATCCCTCATATCTGTCTTCAGGTGGTAGCAAATGCATCTGGCTGTGGCCTTGAAAGCACAGAGATGTTCACTAAGAAATACATACACAAGCTCACTTCAACCCTTGTATATATTACATAAAGGAGCCATACGAATTGTGCATATGATGTGGTACAGGGATCACACCAATGGAGCTTTCATACGGTCTACATTGTTAAAATGTTTTAATTTAGTGGGATATAAGACTGCTGTGTTTATGTATAAAGCCAGGAACAATTTATTACCTGGTGGAATTCAAAAAATATTTATTGAAAGGAAAGTATGAGTCTATGAAAGTTATGTCTAAAAATTTAAATACAGCTGTGTCTTCCTTAGTTTTTTGCTCCTCAAAACTAGACAGAAGGATTGAATCGGGAGGG